TGTGTGTGTGTGTGTGTGTGTGTGTGTGTGTGTGTGTGTGTGTGTGTGTGAGAGAGAGAGAGAGAGATCTTTTAATAGTAGAAGGATAAAGAGTACCCAGTAGAATAATATAGAATAATAAATGAATCAACTATAGCTACATACATCACCAAGAATCTTAATTTTCAACTGCCTGTAGCATGTCACACCGACCTCCTTACTGTTCCTTGAATGTGCTAGGTATGTGTTCTACCTCCACCCTATCTCCACAGGACATTTGCACTTACTGTTCCCTCTGCCTGGATTGCTCTTCCTGCATATATCCAGACAGCTCACTCCCTCAACCCCTTCCGGTCTTTACTTAGATACTAGGGTCCCAGTGAGCCTTCCCTCACCGTCCTACTTAAGCTTACAATAGCCACCCCTCCCCAACACTCCCCATCCCTCTTCCCTGCTTTATTTTCTCCCTAACGCTTATCATTCCATACTTTTTACTTATTTTTCTTATTCTCTGTCTCCACCTAACTAGAATGTAACCCCTGTCAGTAGAGAATTGTCTTTTCTTTTCTTCCTTTTTTTATTTTTCATTTTTTAAAAAGATTTTATTTATTTAGTTGACAGAGAGAGACACAGCGAGAGAGGGAACACAAGCAGGGGGAGTGGGAGAGGGAGAAGCAGGCTTCCCGTGGAGCAGGGAGCCCTATGCAGGGCTCGATCCCAGGACACTGGGATCATGACCTGAGCCAAAGGCAGATGCTTAACGATTGAGCCACCCAGCTGCACCCCCCCTTTTTAATAAAAACAATGCCACAGCATTTATTATCCTCTGGTAATAACATAAAGGTAATCAAAACAATACGAACAAATGTTTTAGAACTACACTCCCAACAAAGGACATCTAAAAAAACAAACTACATGGCCTTCTCAAGAATTTCTCACTTCATTGATCATTTCTAGTTGGAGACACTTTGGAGCAGAGTAATATTATCTCCTTTTAGCATGATCCAACCCAATTGTTTTCTTGACTTTGTTTTAGAATGAATCTCTTCAGCATCATCGAATACGAGGTTCATGTACTCATCAAAACCAATGATACAGCCCACTATTCGCATGTTTACTTGCTCATAAAGCCACACCTGAATTCGAGATCTATTTTGCAAGTATCTGAAGATGAGGTTACACTGAACCATCACCTTCTGCACTTTTTGGTCCTGGCCACGGTATGCCATGGTGGAAGCCGACAAAGACCACATGCTACCTCAGAAAGCAACTTCCGGAATCGAGAATTTTGTTTTTTCACTGCAGGATGTCCAAAGCCTAGAACAGTGCCTGGCACACAGTAGGCATTCGAGCAGTATTTCTGGGGGAATGACTGAATGAACAATTGAATGATATTCCAAGAGTGGCCTCAGGAAGCAAACGAAAACATCAGCTGAGTGATAACAGGAGGAAGGACTCATTATGTTGGATCAGAAGAGGCACTCCCGGCCATCCGCCTCTGACCTAGAACTCTGGTTGACAGATGAACCCATTTAAGAATCTGGGGGATGCCTTTGGGGGCTGCTCATCCTGAAAGGGGCCTTTGGAGGCTGCCCTACTCACAACAAAGTGTTTTAAAGAAGCCACAGTACATTCGTTTCCTAGTCGAGGCAGCCAGATGGCAACTTCGCCTCCAGACTCTCGCAGGCTAGTGCTCGCTTCCATTTCTATTTCTTATTTCATCATTCAACAAATATTTGTGGAGCAATGTCTAAGTGACAGGACCACACTAGGGCTTCGTGTTTTAAACAGAACTTTTCAAATCTACTTGTGTGCAACTGTATTTTCACTCTCTCTCCCTCCCTCCTTTCCCTCCTTCCCTTCCCTCCCCTCCCCAAGGCCCCTGGTTTAATCTCTATTATTCTGAGTAATACATGTTTGTTGTAAAAAGAAAAATCCAGTAATACAGCATTCTGTACAGTAGAAAATGAAATTCCCTTCCTCCATCCCTTGATATGGGTCACCATGGTAATAAAGTTTCTCAGCCCTCCCCACAGGGAGATGTCCCCACATTCCCTGGGGAATAGGAAGGTGGTGCAAGTAGAATGTTCACAAACCTTAATTACTTATATATATGAAGGGACTTGCCAAGAATCTCAATTGTCAACTGTCTGTAGCCAGCCTATCACACTTGTCAAAAGCTTGGCTGAGTCAAGTGGTATTTGAGAAAGATACCCTAAGGGTCATAACAGGCATTCATTCCTTAGGTTTTCTTTTTTCTTTTTTTATTTCTAAAGATTTTATTTATTTGACAGAGAGAGAGAACACAAATGGGGAGTGGGAGAGGGAGAAACAGGCTTCCCGTGGAGCAGGGAGCCCGATGCGGGGCTTGATCCTAGGACCCTGGGATCATGACCTGAGTTGAAGGCAGACGCTTAACGACTGAGCCACCCAGGCGCCCCCATTCCTTAGATGTTCTAAGCTCGCCCTATGCCAAGTAAGACCTTTGGTGAGCAACACACCTGGACCAGATTATCTTAGCCATCTACATGGATATCTTTAGAGAGCTATGTTTTTTCATGATGTCCTTTTATTGAGGGTCCATATAAAATATGGCCAGAGAAAGACCGTTTCCAATGTTTTTGTCCTGTAAGCTGCTCTTGAAGACTATCCATTGTCTATAGGACACAGAAAACAATTCCTCCCAGGGCTGAGCTTGGATTTTCTGACAATCTGGTAGGTTGCTGCTTTTTTCCTTTCTTCCTCTTCTTCTTTCTGTTCCCTCCATTCCACATTCCTTTTTCAGATAATGAGAACAATATAACGCATCACATCTCTCTTTTTGTCTAGGCTACCAGGAAGCTCTGACCAATTTTTGAATCAATGGCATCAAGTTTCCTTTGGCCTAGGCATTCTTGCCCACATCATTCCAACCTCTCTTGCATGATTCTAGACTTTTTGCTCCACTGTTTTTAAAAGCCTCTTGAGGTTTTTGTTTTTTGTTTTTTTCAAAGAGGAGGAGATAAATGATACATTAACAAACAGTCCAATGGTGACATTTTACAATTTACAGGTAAGGAAAATAAGGTCCAGAGAGGCTGACTTCGCTAAGAACCACAAACAGCTGGTTAGGGAAGCTTTCAGACTAAAACCTCAGGGTTCCTACCCTTCCCACTATCCTATATTGTTTCAAATTAAACATTAATATTTCTTCTTCCTTCATATGTTGTGGATATTCACTCAGCTTGATTTTCTTTGTGTTCCGCTTTTGGAAAGAGAAGCTACAGCTGGATTCTGTGTGATTTTTCCCCACTCATCAAGTCAATGCCTCAGGTTGGCAGGGTCCAGGAGGGAGGGAGATACCTTCTCACATCTTTTCTGTCTACAGAGGACCACCTCCAGCAGTCTACCAAATTCACTTGGGACTTCAGACATAATAATGGGAATATGTACAAAATACCTTTAGGAAACCAAGTATTTCTGAGTATGACATTTTTGTTGTGGAGTGTGGGATCCGCAGAAAGGACAGAATGAGTTTAATGCAAGCTGAAAAACTCTACACGTTGAAGTTTAAATTATAGAAGTTTATACTCCCAAAGCAGGTATGATCAATTGGATTAAAAATAATAATTTCTGCCTGAAACATTAATATGAAAGTAAAAAATCCTATTGGTACTTTGATGTTTCCTTGTATGGAAAAAAGATGGCAAGTCTAAAGATGGGTCTGGGACTGCTAATTTGGATAAATATTCAGGGTAGACTGACAGGTATCCATAAGTGATGTGCAGGAGCGGGGGTAACAAGTCAGGGGGAACAGAGTGTGTGTGACAACAGCTCTCCCATATACCAGCTGTGTGGAGTCAGACAGGTTGTCCAAGTTTGTTGAGTCTCAGTGTTCCCATCTATAAAATGGGAACCACAGTAACTACACTCCAGGACTGTGCAGAGGATGGAATAAGGCCACACGTGTGGAATACACAGTGTGATGCCGACTTAGGGGCTCAGCTAACTGTGGATGTTACCATGTCTGAGTCAGGCTACAGCAGCTATCATAGTCAGTCACTAACTATTCCACTTAACCAACTAGGCAGGAATCATACAGAAAAGCCTGAGAGGACACAGTAGTCCTGGAAGGAAGTGAAGTACCTGGGTACATTTAGCTGAGGACAAACTTAACTCCCTGGGGGTGGAGGCAGCTGCAGACAGGACAGTTTTCAGACTGCAATTGTGATAAGCCAGACTTATGTTAGGATAAATCAAATCCACGAAGAAACTCCGTACCTGGTAATTGTCTAACTCTGCAGGACTTCTAGAGTGTGTAGTTGCAAGTTTTCCTCACCTTGTCATCACGTCCTAAATGGCCAGCTTAGCATATAATAAGCCAAAGTGCCCCTAGAGAGTAATCCTGGGGAAAGACCTCAGTCCTACGGTCAGAGCCCAAGAAGAAGAAATCCTAGCAAATGAGTGGTTGGCAGCCCTGAATCTTGGGGGGTGGGGTGGAGGAGCATCAGCCTCTTTGGGGGCGGGGGGTGATGGTGAAGTTCTTGGCTCAGTTTCATCACAGACAGTGATTTGGATCTGAATGTAAAAACATCTGCCAGAAACTTTCTGTTATAGGAAGCTCACTAGAAAGCAATGAAAGATTAAACTGCTGCATATCCTTTAAAGGTATCACTATTATCTTAGGGGAGAAAGAAGACTTGCAGCCAAGAATAAATTAAGTTGAAAAAAGGAATATAGGAGTTTTCCTTTGGTATAAAACATCTTAATGGACTGACCCAGATGGTCCAGATGTTTTTAAGTGGACATATTCTACATGCCACAGTCACATTATAAAATATAGAGTTCCATAACATTTTAAGTTGATCTTATTTGTATAGTTGCTCTTATTTGTTAATTTGAAAAGTGAAACTAAGTAACATTTTAGAGAACAAACAAAAATCAAGCTGGATTTTGTTTTTAACTTGGCAGAAAGAGTGGCCTTTGATTTTGTGTCTGATAGTCTGAATAACTATCTGCTGGACTTTTATTTATTTATTTTACCAATTCTTTCTCCATCTTTCTTTAAAATTTTAAAAGGAAATGCCTCCCAAATGTCTATAGTCATCTTTTTGGGGGGTATCTCAATAAGCAACAATAAAAAAAATCATAATAAATGTTTCATTTGAAGTTCACACAATTTACGTAATAAAACCTTTGAAAGAACATATGTAAAATTTCATCAATATTGAACTGAAATTCCTCAGGGAATATTTTCAGTGAGGCAAAGTGTTCTATATAAACAAATGAAATTTTGCATCTTTCTAGTTCTTATTTTGCAAGGCGATAACTTTTTTTAAAGTCAATTTTTATTATTTTAGAATATTTTTAGATTTCCAGAAAATGATAGTACAGAGAATTCCCATACACCCAGCTCCCAATTTTCTCCTTTTATTAACATCTTAAGTTAGTATAGTACATTTGTCACAATTAATAAAACAAATTGGTATGTTATTATTAACTAAATTCTATATTCATTTTTTTCTGAGTTTTTACCTAATTTAGTCTTTTTCCAGAATCCTGTCCAGAATATCATATTGTGTTTAATCATTGTTTCCTTAGGCTCCTCTTGACTGTGACAGCTTCTCAGACTCCTTATTTTTATTTTTTTAGATAAAGAGAGAGAGCAAGAGCCCAAATGCACATGGGGTGGGAGGGACAGGGGCAGGGCAGAGGGAGAGGGCAAGAGAGAATCTTAAGCAGACTCCACGCCCAGTGCAGACTCCAACTCGGGGTGCGATCTCACAACCCTGAGATCATGACCTGAGCTGAAACCACGAGTTGGGCGCTTAACCGGCTGAGCCATCCAGATGCACTTCAGACTCCTGATTTTTAATGACCTTGGTTATGACACATACCGGTCAGGCATTTTGTAGAAAATCCTTAGTTGGGATTTGTCTGATGTTTTTCTCATGATTAGACTGGTGTTAAGGGTTTGTGGAAGGAAGACCACAGAGGCAAGGTGCCATTCTCATTATATCTCATCAAGGGCACATGTTATCAACATGACTTATGCCTGTTGACGTTAACCTTGATCACCTGGCTGAGGCAGTGTTAGCTTACTTCCCTCCCTGTAAAATTACTCATTTTTCCTCCTTTTTCATACTGTGCCCTTTGGAGGGAAGTCACTACATGCAGCTCACACTGAAGGGGCGGGAGATATGCCAAACCTTCCAGAGGGCGGAATTTCTAGAATAAGTTATTTGGAATT